GTGTACGCTCGCTTCGCCCCCGGGACAGCCCAGGGCTGCGGTGGGGGCCAAGGCGGGACCCGCTCCCCGTGTAAACGCTCTGTTCTGGATTGGGGGAGGGGCGCGCTAGCTCCTTTGCGGTGGCGTCGCACTGTCGGTGCCGGGGTTTTTAGAGGGACAGGAGGGGGCGGGGGGATATTTTAATTGGCCCAACTTCTGCGGGTGAAAGAGACACGCTGCAGAGCCGGTTGCAGAGCGCTCCTCCCGGCCTCGTCAGTTTCCCTGCTTAGGTAAGCCCTGGGGTTAGGAAGCGTCATTACCAGCTAACAAGCAGGGTGTAATCTGAAAGAGTTGCTGCTAATCATGGTACCAGTGCTGGATTGCCACATTGAAAACGGGGCCTTTTGCTGTACCGAAGTGCCTGGTTTGATTGGGCCACAAGAAATCTGATGAGGTTCAACAAGGACAGGTGCAAAGTCCTGCACTTAGGACGGAAGAATCCCAAGCATTGTTACAGGCTGGGGACCGACTGGCTAAGTAGCAGTTCTGCAGAAAAGGACCTGTGGGTTACAGTGGATGAGAAGCTGGATATGAGTCAACAGTGTGCCCTTGTAGCCAAGAAGGCTAATGGCATATTAGGTTGCATTAAGAGGAGCACTGCCAGCAGATCCAGAGATGTCATTATTCCCCTTTATTCGGCTCAGGTGAGGCCACATCTGGAGTATTGTGTCCAGTTCTGGGCCCCCCACTGCAAAAAGGATGTGGACGCATTGGAGAGGGTCCAGCGGAGGGCAACCGAAATGATTAGAGGGCTGGAGCATATGACCTGTGAGGAGAGGCTGAGGGAGTTGGGTCTGTTTAGTCTGCAGAAGCGAAGAGTGAGGGGGGATTTGATAGCAGCCTTCAACTTCCTGAAGGGAGGTTCCAAAGAGGATGGAGAGAGGCTGTTCTCAGTAGTGACAGATGGCAGAACAAGGAGCAATGGTCTCAAGTTATGGTGGGAGAGGTCCAGGTTGTATATTAGGAAAAAGTATTTCCCTGGGAGGGTAGTGAAGCAGTGGAATGGGTTACCTAGGGAAGTAGTGGAGTCTCCATCCCTAAAGGTGCTTAAGTCTCGGCTTGACAAAGTCCTGGCCGGGTTGATTTAGTTGGGATTGGTCCTGTCTAGAGCAGGGGGCTGGACTTGATGACCTTCTGAGGTCTTTTCCAGCTCTATTATTCTATGAACAGATTTATTTCTTATTGTAGTACAGGTTGAACCTCTCTAGTTCGGTGCCCTCGATATGACGGGTGCCAGACCAGTGAATTTGCCAGACCAGGGAGGTCAGTAATGTTAAGCAATATTACCAACCCTTCCACTAATTAGTGGGCTCTCAGAAGACATTTAGGGGTAAATTAGAGTTAAATAACAGCACAAAACACTGAGAGCCGGGTTTGGTGGTTGTAAACAAACTTTATAAGACTGGGGAAACTTGGTCACACACATAAGTGGACATCTGGCTAACCAAAAACATGGTGGACCACAGATGTTGCTTGACCAGAGAGTGATGGACTAGAGAGATTCAACCTGTATTCTTGCCAGATTTGTGTTTTATTGAGATGGGGCATCAGATGTGTTTATGGAAGATGTGAGTAGATCAAATCCCTTTAGTTTCTTTTTAATCCTGATAAATAATGATCATTGCTATCTCCCTTTCCAATGTTTCCTTACCCTTTTTGTGCGTCAGTATTTTCCACGGACTGAACTGTATGCTAATGAAAAGAAACGAGTTTAACTTGATCTGAAGGCTGGGGTGTGCCTCTGGTTACTCAGTGACGAGATGAGCTTTTTGACCTCAGAGCTGCATATAGGAATTAAGGATGTAAATACCTGTTTAAAAAGTTAACCTGTTAAACAATAAGTTTAACCAATTTATCACAGAGAGCTGGGATCCTGCAGCCTAGGCTTCTCCAGCAGGGGCTTCCACTGTTGAGCTCATGCCCATCAACCTGCCATGGATAAGCAATTCCTCCTCCTGCACCACTCAGGCTGGGCTGCCAATTAAGCAGTTACTGGGTCAGCATGTAGATAAGGCTACTGCTTACCCAGGTAACCAGTTAGCCTTTTAAATCTCTAAGAGGAATTAGGGATGTTAAATACCAGTTAATTGAATAGTCAATTAACCTCATGAATTCTTATCGATTAGTTGACTATTCTATTGTATCAGAGGCAGCAGCGCGGGGTGCCAGGCGGGAGTTGGTCCGGGAGGGAATCCAGTTTAAAAACAATCTCCCCTTGTGGGTTAGGGTTAAGGTGATTTTCCCCCCCACAGCACTGCTGTCTCTGATGCCACCCCATGCTGCTTCCTGTGTATCAGCCCCTGTCCGGGGCGAGGAAGTGTTGTAAGCTCCTGGATCTGTTGCAGCCTGGAACTGAGCCAGGCTGCCTGTCCACCTAGCTCCTAATACATTGTAAATACAGAGCTGCAGCAGGGGTAGATCCCGGATCCATCACAAATTGGGACTGAGGTGAGCTGCTAGACAGCCTGCTAAAAAATTACTGGTGAGGAGGGGAGGGAAATGCGTGTAATCTATAGCATTAACCGATAAGCTTTCGCTTATCATTTAATCAGTTGACTACACTGTTACATCTTTAGTAGAAATTGAGGTTGTCATTTCCCATGGCTTCTAGTAATAATATTGAAAGGTGGGAAATTGGCTAGTTGTGTAGTCAATACTCATTAGTATCAGCTACATGATTAGTTGATAGGGAAGGTGCTCAGTCCCAGCTCATGCCAGGTCCAGTTGCCCTGTCCGCAGGGGGGTACCAGCAGAGAGCGGTAAGGTGGAGAGAGGAGGGGGAGGATGCAAGTAGCTGAGTAGTCTACTCGACAACTCGCTTACATGCCTAGTTCCTAATATTTCACTGATTTATTGCTCTGCTAGTTCTTATTAGCCTTATTTTTTCTCATTTTAATATACTTTTTTTAACACTTCATTCTCTTGATTTGTGGCAGACTAAACCCTTGGTTTTGTAACTGTGAGGGGGCAAATAACACAATGATGGTGCCTTTGTAACTTTACTGGGGAGATCACTAGTTGCCTTTACATTTCTTAATTCAATGCTTTCTTGTCTAAAGATATGTTAGAAGAAAAATTAGGTGATATACCAAGAAATTAAATTTTACTTTTTAAAAAGTAACTAAAGAAGAATCATAGAGCTGGAAGAAACATCAGGAGGTCATCAAGTTCAGCCCCCTGCTGAAAGCAGGACCAATGCCAACTAAATCAACCCAGCCAGGGCTTTGTCAAGCCGATACTTAAAAACCTCTAGGGATGGAGATTCTACCACCTCCCTAGGTAACCCATTCCAGTACTTCACTGCCCTCCTAGTGAAATAGTTTTTCCTAATATCCAACCTAGACCTCCCCCATTGTAACTTGAGCCCATTGCGCCTTGTTCTACTATCTCTTACTACTGTGAACAGTCTTTCTCCATCCTCTTTGGAACCTCCTTTCAGGAAATTGAAGGCTGCTATCAAATCCCCCCTCACTCTTCTCTTCTGCAGACTAAACAAACCCAAATCCCTCAGCCTTTCCTCATAGGTCATGTGCTCCAGCCCTCTAATCATTTTGCTTGCCCTCTGCTGGACCCTCTCCAATGCATCCACATCCTTTCTATAGCGGGGGGGTCCAGAACGGGACACACTACTCCAGATGTAGCCTCACCAGAAGATGAAGTAGGTTGCGTCAGTGGTGCATAAATGTCATTTGACCTAGAATACTAGCATGGACTAGGATTGTCTTTACTAGGGAAAAGAGTATTTTAACCCATGATAAAATAATGAAAACTCTTCTGTTGTAGTTTCTTAACCCATATTAGCTTCTGGAAGTAAACTCTAGAGGGAGCCTTTGCTTTGCATTTTTGCCTTAGTGAAAACAAGATTCAAGCATCTTAAGGCACCAGGGTATATTGATAAAAAACACTGTCACTCTGACAAATGCACAAAAAAGTATAAAGTTAGTGTTATACAATTTAAATAAATCAGAAAAAAGAGAAGTTTAAAGTTTGTATAAGATTAAAAACTGCTCATAGCTTACATTACATTGGCACTTAGAAAAACTTGCTTAGCATTTAATTCATAAATATAAGTACATAGACTTCAAATTTTCTACAGTGTGTGCACAGTTGCCAGTTTTAATTCATTAATAACTCAATGTGCAGCTTTTTTAGTCTTGCTTAGTGAGGATCATTTGTGTACTAAATTTTAATGTTCATCCATTCTTTAATTATCTGTGCATATGTGTTAGGTGGGCAGAAGTTTGAACAATAGCAAGAGATTTTTAAAGCTTTATAGAAAAATGACACAGATTATTTTTTGACTTTTTTTTTTTAAACTATTGTCTATGCTTAGCAAGTGTGGATTTTTCCAGAATAATTAAAGTTAATAGTAATTGTGTGGCATAAAGTATTGCATTTAATTTCAGGTGATTAATATAACAATGTATTTAAATTCCACTTTTTCCCATTATTTTTCTCCTAATTGACTACTCCACAATCATTAGCTTCCCTCTTTAATATGTCCTAGCATGCTTCTGCTACTCTGCTGTAGAATATAGTCTGCATACAAGGTGAGGGTCAGTTTATTTTTTGGTAAATTAGAATTTACCAAAAATATTATAGACTTTGGTTGTTACAGAGAAAGGGGAAAAAAGATTTGTTGGATATCCATCATGGTGTTCTTTTTTCCCCACACCTAATTGATGCTGTAATATTGCAGGAAGAGAACATATTGGGGAGTAGAAATGTGAATGATTACCAGGTAAAGGGTGATGCTCATCAGGTAATAGTTAGCCATTACCTGGGAGCAGCCCATGGCCCACTGTGGGTGGAAGGTTGTTCCAGCCTGTGCGAGCTGGGAGGTGGCAGCCTCATGCGGGAGTGAGGAGGGTCTGGAAGCAGTCGCAAGCGGTAGCAGCCTTAATCCATACCCTCTCCCCTTCCCTCCCCTCTGCCCCCATACAAGGCAGCTGACTCCCAGCTTGCTGTGAGATGGGAGCCACCAGGCCTGCAGGGTGGGGCAACACTTCCTGTCCACCCCTGTGTAAACAGTTAACTGGATAAACTTAATATTTAACCAGTTGAGTAATTAAACGGTACTTTACATCCCTACTGGGGAGCAATGTTCCCTCTTATCTCTTCTATCCATTTGTGGATATTTTCCATCCTTGTGCAGAATAAATGTTGTGCACCAAAGCATGTGCTAATGTGCACCACCAGTAGTAACAAAAAACTAGCTGTGAGCGCTTTGCTGCCAGATAGGTGGCATTTGAACCTCTCCTGAGTGGCTGCACAAGCACACAGCTTATAGGTAACACTGCTGGTGAGATCCTTCCAGTGCTGTATGGGAAGTGGAGGTTGTATAGAATCAGAAAAATAGACTTCTAGTAGCTAACAATTAATAGTATTCATTACTTTCTGAAAGACACATTGTGATCTTTTCTAACAGCTGCAGGAAAATCAACGTTTGTGAATATTCTGAAACAAGCTAGCGAAGAATGGGAAGTTGTTCCTGAGCCCGTAGAAAGATGGTGCAATGTTCAGAGCTGCCAAGAGGATTATGAGGTACGATGATAGCCTTTGACTTTGACTGAGATGAGTATTTCATATTATTTGCACATTATTGAGCCAGGAGAAACTGCTTCTTGGCGGATTAAGGCCTCTACTAATCTAACAAAACAGTAATAAAAATACCATCTGTGTGTGTGTGTGTGTGTGTGTGTGTGTGTATGTGTAATAGTAACAATTTCATCAAATTTCACTATATTCCTTTGACTTTCCTTCACCTGTGTAGGTTTTGACCCTTATTAAGCAGTCCTGTGATGCTCAGATGGAATGTGTGTTTACACTTATGCATGTTTAAAACAGAGTAGGTATGGGGAGTGGAGTGATCCTTCTGGTTGTCTAGATTTATAAGTACGTTGCAGAGTAAACATAATTTATACCTTATTAGCACAAATAACAGAAAAATGTCATTCCTTGCTTTCATAATCTCTCCCACTTAATGCACCTAATATTTGTGGCAAGGGAGTAGTATTGAAAAGATATGTTACCAAATCTGAGCTATTTCTGTGAAATCTTCTGAAACCTTTGGCAATAGAACGTGAACTATTGACTAAACTATTTATCTATCCTGATGTTGTTTTTTACGTTCTAATTCTAGATCTATGACCCCATGGTGAAAGCCCAGCTGGGGAAGGCAAGACCCAGCTCTACCCCTTCCACCCGAGGTCCTGCCCCTTTTGCCTGAGGCCATCCCCACTCCCAGCTCTATCTTTCTGGGCCATATGGAGAGCTGGGGGTGCTGGGCTGCAGCCCCAGCATGACCCTCCCCAGCAGCTGGGAAAAGCCAAGCTGCCATGCAGAGGCCCTTTCCCTCCCTGGTGGCTGGGGGGAGCTGGGCTGCCACGCAGTGGCCCTATCCCTCCCTAGTACTGGACTGCTTCTGCTTCTGCGTTTCTAGCCCCCAGGAAGGAGGTGCTGGGAGCACCGGGGCATTGTGGGAAGTGCTTTGTATTCATGCTCATCAGTGTGAAAGAAGCTATTTGCATATATGTTTGCATGTACATGCAACCATACTTAAGTTGTGGCCCTTGGCAGGTGCTGAGAATATCACTGTGGCCTGCCCCCGGGGCTTCCAAAGTTGAGTAGCCCTGGTGTAGTATCTAGGGATGTAAAATCCTGTTTAATCAGTATATTGGTTAAACATTATGTTCGACCAGTTAACTGGTTAAACAGTAGTGGGTAGGGGCTGCTCTGGCCAGGCAGCAGCTCCCTATGCCTGTAGTCAGTCCCACTGGACTGCAGCCACCCCCTCCTTGCGCTAGGTGGGGGGGCCTGCTCAAACCTCTACTGCTTAACCGTAAGCGGTAAGCATCACCTGGTAAGGGTGATGCTTGCTGGTTAACCATTCACATCCCTTAAGTGGCATTACTTAATTGTAGCTAAAAAGCAAGTTGCTTATAATACAATTACTCTGTGCAGTTCAGCTTTGACGTAGCATTTTTCACTGAGAAATTTACAACTGAAATGCCAACAATCTCGCTATAGTTTTATTAAAAGGAAAAGTGAATATTGTGTAACAGAAGCAGATATTTTTCTTTTACAACAGAAATATAGCCTGGAAGGAATCTCAGGAAGTCACTATTCCATCGTCCTGTGTTGAGGCAGAATTGAGTATGCCTAGACTATCCATGACACACATTTGTCAATGATAATCGAAATAACAAGTGAACATACATGCACATTAAGTATGTTTATATGCTCACCTTAAGACAGATGGGAACAATGTAATCTAGTAGTTGTAATACAGGCATGGGAATCACGTCTGACTTCTGTTCCCAACCTGTTGTGTGAACTTGGGTACGATTCTACTCCTCAGTTTCTATGTGTGTATGCAAATTATTGGTGTTCTCATTTTGTAAAAGTCCTTAGAGGTAAGCCATTATAGAAATGCAAAATAGTAATTATTATCATTAGTAAGTTTTTTTTCCTGTTTTCTTCACATTATGAAGACCATTTTCAGTTATATTTGTTAAATCAAAGCTACTTTAAAAAAAAAAAATAAACAAAACAAAGGCATTCCTTTTCACTCTGCCTGTACATTTCTCCCCATTCCTCCCCATAGGATTATGACCAGACAAAATTTATCTTTAGTTATATGCCAAAAATGTGTTTTCCCCCTGCCCTCCTGCTCCATCCTATTACTCAAACAGCTAAGGCATTTTGTTCAAAATTTCCACATAAATAGAGCCTTCAGGAACATAATAAGCATAATGTATTGGGCCAAAATATGTATGTGTTTTGGAAATCTGTTTAAGTTTATAAAAACACAAGGTTTTAATGGAAGCTGTATTATGACCTTAACTATAACAGGCACTGAGAGCACACACTACAATACTTTGTGTTTATATAATGCCTGCCTTCCAAGGATATCAAAGCGTTCTACAAACATTCACATCCACATGAGATAGGGATGTAGTATATCTGTTTTTCACATAGGGGATCTGAGACTTGGCAAGTCACTTAACCTTTTCATAAGTCACATATTAAGATAACAGCAGAGACTAGAATAAAGCCTCATATTCTATATTCAAAGTGCTGTGCTTTAAGCCCCTAAACCCTGCTTTTTTCCCTTGGAGCCCAAACACTGAAACTTTGTCAAACTATGGATTGAGTCTTTCTGCTGCCACATCTGTTCGTTTGTACAAATGGCTTTGTGTTTGGATGTCAGGTCATCTTTACTAGAAAAGCTGTAAAATATGCAGTGCTTTTGTCCCACATAGGGATATAAGCGACTACTCGAGTAGTCGACTACCTGATAAGCCAGTTTCCCTCTAGCACCATCTCCATGGTTCAGGGAGCGGAATGGGCAGGGGAGGCAGAGCTGCAGACTCTGGGAGCCGCCTGCAGGCTCTGGGGGCCACCCATGCTGCAGCTCTGCATTTTAAATGTAGTAATTGCTGCTGGGCTCTTAATATATTTAAAATGCAGAGTCGCAATGGTCCTGAAGCCAGCATGAACCGGGATTGCTCAATCTCGGTTTGTGCTGGCTCCCGTAGCTACCCCCGCTGTGGCTCTGCATAGCACCTTCCATTATTGACTGTTCGTGTAGTCGATAAAAATTATATCGACAACACGATTAGCCAGATATCCTTTCCTTAACATACTTAGTCCCACAGTTCATTTCTGTTTTCTGAATTTGCATGCAGTGGCATTCCAGCTGTTAATTTTATTGTCATCATGAAATAACTCCTTCAGCTAAGAGAGGAAGATACCTAATTCTGTGTCTTAGGAATTCTATTCTTGTCCTTGTATGACATGTTTAGAGTGTACATAGCCATCTGCTTAGATGTCATGTCTGCAGCTGTTGTCATATGAACTATAACAGATGGCACGTGCTAATCCAGCTGAATTTTAAATTTAACTCTGCTGTGTAAGAGCAAAATGTATGCTTGCATGCATAGAATTCGCCTCTAGTATCGACAGTCTTCATTTTATTTAAAAGATTGTAAATAGTAACAAATTTCTGAGACCACTAAGCATTTTAAACACTTTTGTCTGAAAATGTCCATAGTCAGGCATATCTATAAGCTCCCACCCCCCTCCCCCCCCATCATTGTTGCCAACTAGGATTTCACTGGAGGTAACGGAAAATTAGCCTGTGAAGCTCCACCAGTAGTAGCAACAAAGAAAAAAGGCTACTGTAGACAAAGTAGTTCTTGAAACTGACAAAGGTTGAAGATGGGAAGCTAACATGCCCTGAGAATATTTGTTCAAAAGAAATAATTTACCATGCTTTCAAACTATGGAATATATTGTCAAATGAGTAAGATGTTCCAAAAATCTTATAGTAACAGAAAATGCAGATGAAGTAATATCTTATATTGGACCAAATTCGTTGGGAAAGCTCTCTGTAGACGAGAGGTTGTTTCTTTCCACAACAGAAGCTAGTTGAATTAAAGGTATTATTTCACCCACCTTATTTGTCTCGTTTCCTGGAAGTAACACAGCTACCGCAGTCTTGAAGACGAAAATAAGAACAGAACTCTATTTGGACAAAACACATAATTGGTTTCTGAATTTTAACTCAAAGGTTGAGGCAATTGACTTTTGGTGTCTCATGCCTTGCAATGTGCATGAGGTGGATATGACTTACAATCCTAGTACAAACTCTAGTGTGAAATCTTCCCCTCACAGATGAATAAAGGTAAGATGCTACACAGTTGATAACTGTATTTTCCAAAATAAAAACAGGTTATATTGTGCTCTCACACACTGCCTCAGTGCAGCAGAGGTTTTTAGAGAAGTGCAGAATGCATTTTCTGATGTTCCAACACCTCTGCGCATCAGAGAGAAATTAAGGTATTGTGCAGATGTTACTTTTGCTTATAAATGGAGATTAAGTGGAAACAATTCTAGGCCTGAAAAGGAAACTGTACCATTTTGTCATGGTAAACAATTCTGGACATTTTAGAGGTAATTTAACTAAGCTGGAACCTATAATCATTGGGCGACTTACTTTGTTAAAAATAGGAGCTGACGACATCACAGAAAAATGGGGGGAATGTGCTTCAGATGATGTATGAGAAACCCGACCGGTGGGCATACACTTTCCAGACCTACGCCTGCTTGAGCAGAATCCGGGCTCAGCTCAACTGCCTTAATGGGAAAATTAAAGAGATGGAGAACCCTGTGGTCTTCTTCGAGCGATCTGTGTATAGTGACAGGTATGTTTTATTTGTGAACACTTGACTGAGTAGGAGAATCCTTGTAATGACTAGAAAACAGATGAGCTTTTATAAACACTTCAGAGTTAGTGGTTTCTGGTTGGCTCTCGTCAGTTGACATTATCAGTGAATTGTTCACTTTCTCTCCATATTGTACAGTGAGGATATTTTACCAACTCAAACAATAACTGTGTTCTGTTAGCTGAATTCCATTAGCTATATGTAGTTTTCTGTCTTCTTAAGAAAGGGAGGGTAGGGCTGAAGGGAGAAAGAAAAGCAAATTTTCTATTTCTCACAAACCTTTGTTCCTTTTTGTTTTATTTTATTTATTTTGAGGGCTGCTGTATGCTTGTTTTTCAGTTCCTTACCTTTCAATCTCTGACTGCAGGGGATTGAACTTCACTGTTGAGCGCCACATCTGCAGTTTTAGCCAGCTACCATGGTGCTTCAGTGGGAGAATCATGTATTGGCTTAAATGCTCTGCCACAAAATTGTTTGTGTGGATTGTGGCAGTCTCCAGAAGGTGGTGAATATGGCAGAGCATATGTCTGAAAACTGAAGATTCCAGCTATGCATGACTGTCTGTGGGAAATTGCAACTGAAATAGCACGGAGTAAAGGACCACATGAGTGACAAGAGTATAGCCATCTAAAAAAGGGAGCAAATGGTTAATTACCATAAGGTCATATGACTCGAGCCAGTGGAGCCAAATTATTAAGTTTTAGCAAAACTTCATGGCCACTTTTGAAGTTTTGTTTTGTTTCTTTCAGTCTACATATCTGCCAGGCTACATAAGTAGCTCATCCATTTTCTCTAGATAATACAAAGCATATTGAACTGGTTACTTAAATAATATGACTTACTTTTCCTCATTGTTCAATAATTCTTTTTGGTTTTAGGTATATTTTTGCATCGAATTTATATGAATCTGATTGCATGAATGAGACTGAATGGACTATTTACCAAGATTGGCATGAATGGATGAATAAGCAGTTTGGTCAAAGCCTTCAACTGGATGGAATTATTTATCTCAGAGCCACTCCTGAGGTGAGGAATAAAACTTGATGAATTTAGCAAGAGTGAGAGTGCGATCAGATTGACCAATGTGAGCTTCACCGATAAATCTTTGCTTAAATGAGTTCAGAACTTTTTTTGCCACATTGCACTTAATACTCTGTATAAGGTATCTCTAAATTACTGTTCGTTTGTTTTTTGAGAAATCTCATTTGTTTGCAAGCACGTCTTCAGCCCAAGCTGTCTGTTTTGGAATCTTTAAACTATCCACAGTGACTCCAAGATCTCTCTCTTGAGTGGTTATAGCTAAATTAGTCCCTATAATTTTGTATGTTTAGTTGGGATTATTTTTCCAATGTGCATTACTTTGCATTTATCAACATTAAATTTCAAAATTTCATTTACCATTTTTGTTGCCCAATCCCTTAGTTTGGTGAGATCTTTTTGAAGCTCTTCACTTTCTGCTTTGGTTTTAACTATCTTGAGCAGTTGAGTATCATCTGCAAATTTTGCCATCTTATTGTTTACCCCTTTCTCCAGATTGTTTATAAATAGGTTGAATAGGTTTGGTCCCAGTATAGACTCTTGGGGGACACCGCTAGTTTCCTCTCCCCATTCTGAAAACTGACCATTTATTCTTATCCTTTGTTTCCTGTAATCATCGTCATCTTTTTTTTAAATGAGTTACAATCCATGAGAGGACCTTCCCTCTAATCCCATGACAAGTTACTTTACTTAAGAGCCTTTGGTGAGGGACCTTGTCAAAGGCTTTCTGGAAATCGAAATACACTATATCCACTGGATTCCTCTTGTCTGCATGCTTGTTGAGCCCAAGCATGATTTTCCCTTTACAGAAATCGTGTTGACCTTTCCCCAACAAATTATGTTCATCTCTGTGTCTGACAATTCTACTCTTAACTATAGTTTCAACTAATTTGCCCAGTACTGATGTTGGACTTCCTGGTCTGTAATTGCCAGGATCACCTCTAGAACCCTTTTAAAGTATTGGCGTCGCATTAGCTATCTTCCAGTCATTAGGTACAGAAGCTGATTTAAAAGATAGTTTACAAACTACAGTTAATAGTTCCGCAATTTCACATTTGAGTTCTTTCAGAACTCTTGGGTGAATGCCGTCTGGTCCCGGTGACTTGTAACTGTTAAGTTTATCAGTTTGTTCCAAAACCTCCTCTAATTACACCTCAATCTGGGACAATTCCTCAGATTTGTCACCTAAGAAGAATGACTCAGGATTGGGAATCTCTGTAACATCCTCAGGCGTGAAGACCGAAGCAAAGAATTCATTTAGTTTCTCTGCAATTACTTTATCGTTTTTGAGTGCTCCTTTAGCATCTTGATTGTCCAGTGGCCCCACTGGTTTGTTTTGCAGTCTTCCTGCTTCTGATGTACTTAAGCAACGTTTTGCTATTACTTTTGAGAGAGAGGCAGCAAAGGGGAGGAGAGGTACTTGAAAGTGGTAGTGCCGCACAGCCTTTGAAACCCCAAGGCAAGCCAGCTGTGCAGTGGGCTGTCCCTTTTAAATGCCACCTCTGCATGATTCAAAGGGGCAGCCTTGGAGCCCGGGGTCTGGAGAAGTGCTGCAGGGAGCCCGGGATTAGCCGGGGAGTCCCCAGCTGATCCTGGGCTCCACGGCTGCCCCTTTGAATCACTCAGAGGTGGTGTTTTAAAGGGGCAGCCCGCCTCACAGCTGATTGGTGGATCAGCTGTGGGGTGTGCTGCCCCTTTAAAATGCTGCCTCCTCGCATTTCAAAGGGGCAGCTGCCATGGAGCCCGGGGTCAGCCGGGGACTTTTTATAGCCTTGGCCTTCCTAATAGCCCCACTCCTTGGTTAAGGCTTTACCAATAAACATAAGGTTAAGTTTCAAAGCTTTGTTAAGAAGCCCACAGCTTCCAACTTCTGGCCTCGGCGCATGGTCCTTCAAACAAATAGCTCAGCATGTGGACCAACAAACAAATACACACAAGCTCAGCACACAGTATCTTTCTGGCTACCATCAAGTACTCCCTAAACACATGTACAGATAACCGCTTACTCCAAGGGTCCTGTAATCGCTCCTCCGTCACTTGAAGAACTCCCTCACAAAACTCCGTTAGCTGCTCCTGTTGAATTTTTTTTTAATTTTCTCAGTATAATTTTGACACGTTTTATCATCAGCCCTAGTTCATTAATATTAATTTCCAGGAAAAGGAGGTGGGATAAGGGCGTTTGGGTTTGAGATCCTGGATTGACTTAAATTTTAACAAGTGATCTTGAGCTTAAAAAGATTGGAGACCACTGCTTTAGATTATTAAAATCAGAAGAACTTAAAAATATAATATACTTTACGTTGTTTATGCTGTTGACTTTTTGTACTCCATTCAGTGGGGACAGTGTGGTTGTGATCCAAAATGTGGTTGTGATACACTCTCTAAGAGAAACTTTTGGATTTGCCAGTTAACCAGCACCTCCTCATTGGCCTCCATCAGCTAAATCTGGAGGAGTCTTTCTGTATTCCTAAATTCAGTCACTAATTTAAAGGTTAAGAGTGTAGGGTATTTGGTTTAAATGATAGTTCAAGAGTGTTGAAAATAAATTAGACTTTTATCTTTAATTCTATTGTTGTAAATTGGTCCACTTTTTCTCTTTCTGCTTTTAGAAATGCTTAAATAGGATTTACTTGCGTGGAAGAGATGAAGAACAAGAAATTCCTGTTGAATATCTGGAGAAGCTTCACTACAAACATGAAAGCTGGCTTCAACATAGAACATTGCGGTATGGTTTTTGTTTGCATTTTTTCGGGCCTAATATATTCCTAGAATCATTTGTCGGTGTCTCTCTCTTTTTCACAAGGTTTTGATTAAGACTTCACTTGTCCTTGGAAACTTCAAGCCCTGATGGCTTTTAAAACATCAAGTAACATATGCATTTGGGTTTCTTATAACAATATTTGTAAATGTCTTATTTGGTTCCTCACAGGGGTTTGAAGTAGGGATGTAATAGCATAGTTGATAAACTGATAAGCAAAAGCTTATCAGTTAATGCTATAGACAACATGCATCACCCACCAGCAAACTTTTTAATGCTCTGGCCAGCAGCCCAGCTCAGTCCCGGTTTGTGCTGGGTTTGGGGACCTACCCCTGCTGTGGCTCTGCGTTTAAAGTGCATTGGGAGCCATGTAAGAATGCAGCCTGGCTCAGTTCCAGCTCGTGCTGGGACTGGGAGCACAGACAACCCTCTGGGCAACCAGAGGCAGCAGCGCTGGGCAACAGGCAGCAGTCTGCAAGGGCAGCCATTTTTTAAACTGGCTCCTCTAGCAGACCAGGTTCTGCTTGGCAGCTTGGGAGCGGGGCCAAAGGTTAATTGACTATTCAGTTAACTGATATTTAACATGCCTAGTTTGAACATAATTTTGGGTTCAACTCCTGTTTACCTCAGTTGGATCTGAGAGCATTCAGCTGAGATATATCATCTGCACATGATTGAAGTCACTTAAAGATGATGGTCACTCTCCACATGGACAACTCAGGTTATTTATTTAGGAGCATAACCAAGGAATCAAGCTCTAGGATTCTGTATTTAAAAATGAAGGCTATGATTTGTTAAGTTCTGCATTTCTCCTAGTCTGGGAGATTTTCATTAATATTCCTGTGATGAAGACTTAATTTATTTTTACTGTGCAATTAATATTATTTCTGTCCTTTTTCTATTCCTACACTCCTGTTTCTATATAGGACGGACTTTGAATACTTGGAAGAACTACCTATCTTAACACTGGATGTTAATGAAGATTTCAAAGGCAACAAAGACAAGTATGATGATATGATTGAAAAGGTAAAACTTAAAGAAAAAACAACTTTTTGCTATATAAAGTTTATGCATTCAATACAAGATCACATTTATGTTAAAGGAAAAAACTATATAATTTGCAACAGCAGTCAGTCTGTAACTTCAGAACCATCTCTCATCGTAATTTTTCTGTGCAATATTTAACCTAAAACTTTTAAAGGCACATTTTGAGAACCGTACTGGTAACTGCCCGTGTGTGGGAGTGCATATACATGCACAAATATATGCACCTCTAAGCAACATGAAGGACTCCTCTATTCAATTCCCTGCTATCACCGCTTTGAGTCAGTAACTAATATGTTTGAGTTTTGACCCAAAGAGCATATTGACAGTAGGCTCTGTGGACTTTACCATTTGGAGAAGGAAAACACATGATTCTTATTTGTGACACTGGTAGTATACAAGCCCATTAAAAGACTGTAATTAAAAATAAAATTACAAAGCAAAATGTCTCCTCCCTGCATTTAAAAATACGATAGACTTCACCATTTACACGTTAAGCATGTTTCTTAAACATTAAACAATTAAACTGTTCTTATGTTGCTGTCATTCTACTCTTGTCATACACAACTACAAGAAAGTTTATTAAAAGCAGCAGACAAAAATACCCCTGAAAAGCAATACTCTTCTTGCCTTGGTAAAGTATCTGTATCAGCAAGAGCTCTCTGATCGATTTATCACTTCTACAGCAGACCCGATAATTGACGGCTGGTGGATTGATCGCTTTAGTGTCGATCCACAGCAAAGTGTAGACCAGGGCTTAGTTTCTCATTTTACCTGCTAAAACAGCCTGCATAGTTTCTGATGGCGTCAGTTTGGTACATTATTAGGCCTCCTAAAATTCACTCACTACCCTGGCTGTAGTGAGTGAATATGCTTCCTCTTCAGTTCATTTCCTGCATAGCACTGATATGGCGCTACAGAGTTAAGCCATTGGGGATATATGTTAAAATGTGCTAAACTTTTGCTAGGGATATTTTTTATTTATTTTTGTATATAATAGAACCTCAGATTTATGAAACCTCGAGAATGGAGGTTTGTAAATCTGAACTAAACATTATGGTTCTGTCAAGTTTATAACCAAATGTTGACTTAATACAGCTTTGGAATTTTATAGAAGAAAAATGTTGCCCCTTCCCCCTTTTTAAAAAGTAGCCTACGTTTAATATAGTATTGTATTTGCTGCTTTTTGGGAAGGGTGGGATGTCTCTGCTACTACTTGATTGTGTACTTCCAGTTCAAATGAAATATATGGTTGACTGGTCATTTGTAATTCTGGTGTTGATAAATCTGAGGTTCTACTGTATTTCTAATCCTGAAGAGAAGATTCTCAAATAGCTGCAAGAGAGCTCATTAGTGTTCATATATTAAGGATATACATTTTCTGATCTTGTATACCTGTTAAACCACTCATCCTCTGTAACAACTTTAGATGTAATCTTAAACAGTTTTGTTGCATTTTAGGACACTTCACTTGTTTTAAAAGCATAGGAGAATTCCATATCTGTATAATGTGTAAGCTACTTTTGGTTCTGCATCGGGATGTTAAATGGCATTTAATCAGCTAATCGACTAATCAATGGAATTTCCATTGACTAGCAAGTAGTTAATAAGTGGGGGAAGCTCAGTGGGGTTAGCTCGCTGTCCTGTGAACTAACCCTGATGTGGCTTTGCCTTTTAAATGTATTAAGAGCTGCTGGGCTCTTAATACATTTAAAAGGCTTACGTGCAGCAGGGGGGACCGGGTGTGAGCCAAAAATCAGCTCCCCCCAGCACCGGCTCTTGCTTCCCCTACTTGCTGCCTCTCTCTGATAGAGGCAGCAAGGGGAGAAAAGCGACTAGTGAAGTCACTAATTGCTTACAATCCCTAGTTCTGCGCCTGCTAAACTTGAGGAAATTTGGCTTGCAACTCTGGCCACAAAATTGCATGCTTAGCTGTGAGATGTTTATTTCACCCAATAATTATACCTTGTAGTACAGTATAAGGCAATGGAAAGGTGAAAAGTCAGTTCTCATAGATCTGTTTCTAAATACACTTCATTTGATTCAAAATATGTGCTGTTTTTTCAGGTCAAGGAATTTTTGAGCACTTTATAATCCTTTTGAAGAGCAAATGGAAACAAATTGTTCCAAACATCCAAGAGATCCGAATTTGGATTCGAATTCAGCTTTCTTATAAAGTGTCTGAAGAAGAGAAGTTCAGTATTGCTTTAACAAGTTGCGTGGAACATAACATACTTGGCAATATTTGTCTTACAAAATGTACGTGTGATGATTTTCATAAACCATTGGGCCTGTTCAGTGTTACGTAGAAGATTTTAACAAGTTACTCAACATTACAAAGAGTCCCTGGAGCCCTTAATTCCTATTCCTGTTTTTGATCAGAAATAGGGTCCCATAAAACACTTTTCCTATTCTGTCCCTTATATCTATTTAATTCCCATGTAGGTAGGGGTTTTTATCAGAATTGGTCTGTACTTTTTTAGTGGAGTTTGAGAGTCTGCAAGGGAAGTAGTA